CAAAATTGGAATCCATTGGTATCCCATTCATATAATTGAAAAATAGAATCTGTATTCTAAATGCGGTTACAAAAAGTACACAGGAAGGAAAATTTTCCGATTGTCTTCTGTAATAACTGTCAGTATTTCAGACAAAAGTAAAGGTAGAATTAACAGACTGTTGTAAATTTCTTTTAAAAGAAGTTAGGTATATAAATTTTCAAAATTATAACAGTTCATGTCTTTAGTTCAAAATTTTTAAGTGCAGAAATGACTGAAATGTCGTATTAGTAATCTTTAATGGCGCTCTTTATTTGCTGATGCTAAAATAATTATCCAAATTTTCTTTAGCTTGAGAGCAATGTAATAAACCAAAATTTTACTAGAGGTTTCTGGAACTTTGGTCAAGCATAAAGGTTAGAAAATCTGTTACAGTCTGTCAGAACAGAAATCTTGAGTTTTTGGTGAAATGCTTTTAGCTTGCTGGTATTAGTTATTTTGTAAGTAATAGGTTGGTTTAATTTTTATGAAATACTGAAATTGTTACAGGCTCTGTCAATTTTTGTTATTGTAAAATTTTGTTTGAGCTCAAGAATTTTATTTTAAAATTCAATCTTGGGAAATTTCCAGTAAAATTTTGCAACTTAGGCAGTTTATGTTTGATACTCTTTAGAACAGATTCTTTCCATTCTAAAAATGTAGTAAAAGGGAGATTAATTGTATAGCTAGTCTTAGCAATAAATTCATGTATGTCTTTCTCAAAAGTGGCAAACTTCAATGGGGCAAAACTTCCTGTTAACTTTGGAGACTGGTCTAAATTTAGTTCCTAATTTCATGGGCTGTCTAGGTCTGGTTCTTTGACAATATTCAAATTCCGTGTGATTATACAGTCAAAAGTCATTAATTCGGACACCCATAATCCGGAATGATCTATAATCCGGACCTCAAAGCTACAAACTTTCTACAAACATCACGTTTACGCATGCGCATAGGCCTTTACGCGTGCGCGTAAGACCTTTACGGCTGCGAATATGCGTGTGCGCAAGCGCATAATACGTTTACGCATGCGCGTTTAATGTATAACGGATGGTATAAGCTAGGCTAAAATTATCTAATTCAGTTAATGTTGCAGATTGCGTTGTTCCTTAATCTTCAAATTGGATCCGGCTTATTATTTTTTGCAGACTGTTAGAGCAATTTTATAAAAGTAAGCTTGAACTTTCGATTATGTCAAATAGAATTTCCGATATATATTTTACTAATATGTAAAGGATCTACAAAGCGAAAGTATGGTTTTGAAATCCAAAATCTGTTTATCAATTTCATGCTGCTCTGCGGGGGGGGGGGGAACGCCGCGGCGCGCAATGAATTGGAAGTTGATCTGTCAGCACTATCCTTATCTTCAGGGCAGATGTTTTTTTTTATTTTATTTGGCTTATAATTCCTTACTAAATGTAGTATTTCATCTCGATGTACTCCGTCGTCTTTGTCTTTGATATGATTTAAATCAAATTCCTCGTCATTATAATTCGCTTCCGATAGTGAAGAAAGTGAACAGAGAGGTTATTGAAAAAACGAAACATTTCGATTGACAAATTAGTCGGTATTCTCGACACAGCAATTATAGGACTTGAACAGCGGAACTTTGTAACTAAACAAGAAATTATGTCTGTTTAATAGAATTAAGAGAAATGTATTATCACATGAAACGAAGCAACTTAAACACTTACATTGAAGAAATGTTTAATAAAGTAACAAATAAATATTAAGCTTTTTTTTTTTTTTTTGTAAATTTTGATACCCTTTAGATCATAATTGTTTTTTATTTCATAAATTACGGTTTCATATTTTTAATTTTATAATTTCTGCATGCCATCTTACCACATTTAAACTGATGATCTGTAATCTGGAAAAATCGATAATCCGGAATCGCCGAAGTCCCGACGAGTCCGGATTAACGACTTTTGACTGTATGTCCAAGGGCTTATCTACATAAGGATGGTGTTTTCTAAATTTTATTCACCTTTTGCCCATCTTATTCTTTCTAAATTTTACTCACCTTGTTAAATAGTTGTTAGCATTGGTGTAATTTATATAACTTCTTGTAATTATACACACACCATGATCATCAAAATTAAAAGATAATGAGGAAAAATATCCTCACTAAGTTGAGTGTTGCAACTAATGACCAATGCTATAGTTATTTATGTGAATTAAATACAATTGCACTTCCGCGCGTATATTAGCTCCGAAAATATGCAAATTTGGGGATTGACAATGTGGTTTGTACTGGAGGCATGTTGGAATTCTAGTCTGTAATGTTATTGTAATAAAGTGAATGTCCTTTCTGAGCCTGATCAGTATTCAGTAATTATGGCTCAAAGGCATCATTTAAGTGAGTGTCAAAAGTGACAAATAATTGGTATAATTGAGAGAAGCCAAACACAAATGGAGGTCGCTGAAAATTTGAATATCCCTCAAAGTGTTGTATCAAGAGTTTGGAACCGCTTTAAGCACTGGATCAATTGATAGACAGCCTGATTAAGGGTGGCCAAGTGCAACAGGTGCATCAGAAGACTGTTTTCTGTCATTATCGAGCCTGAAGAAACTCCGAAGTGATTACAAAAGATCTGGTTTTAGACCTTAAGGCTGCCATAGGAACTGGAATTAGCCTGCTGCATGAAGGTTTAACGAGGTTGGACTGTATGCGAGAAAACCAATGGTATGTGTCCCACTCACTCCAGCTTCCAGGAGGGCCAATTTAAACTGGTGCCATCGTCATGTTCAATAGAGCCAAGATGATTGGGCCCGAGTATTGTGTACTGATGAGTCCAAATATAGTCAGAACAGTGATTCTAGAGATGTTTTGAAGCATTTGACCATGTCTGGCATGAGAGTTTAATCTACAAATTAATCGAGTTTAATCTTCCCAGAGAGCTTATCCTACTGACACATTCTTACATTACAAGCAGATTCTTCACTGTGAGCTGCAGACAGAGTAATTCTGGGCCACAAGATAATCTCAGCAAAGGTCCCACTGGGGTCCTGTTTGAGGCCAATTCTTTACTTATTCTATGCGATGGATTTTTCAAGGGACAAATTAAATAGGAACATGCTACTCGCCTGCTATGCGGATGATACGGTGGTAGCAGTTAAATCAATAAATCCTAACAGAGCCATTAGCATATTGCAAGATATTGAAGAATGGTGCTCCAACTGGAGGATTTTCTATTAATGCTGATAAGTCTCAACTGCTTATCGTACACAGAAAGAAATTAAAAGTTGTTACTCGGCCACTGTACCTATTCGACCAGCGGGTACCCACAGTTGACAAGGCCAAATATCTAGACTTTTATCTCAATCAAAGGCTCATGTGGAACACCCATGTCAACTATGTAGCTAACAAAACTAAAGGTGTTGCACAGCAACTGAATCTACTACTTGGTAGGTGTTCTAAATTGGACCTACGCAGGAAGCGACAGAATTATCTTTCCATTTTGCCAGTTTGGGCTACTGCGAAGAGTAATGACCTGCACAAGTTACAAGTTGTACAAAATAAAATCTTGTTCACCATTACATGTGCAATTTTAATGCTTCTTTAAATTACATATGCATCCCAGAAGATGTCACACTAAGGCCATTTACTGCTCACAGAATGCAGGACCATAATTTTGTCACTTAAGTAAACACACATTTTGCTGCATTTCTCATTGTAAATTTCATTAATTTACACTTTATTTGTTGATTTGTTCATTTGCTGCAACTTGATAGCGCTACATTTGCACATGTTTGTTTTGGTTAAGAATATTTCTCATCACCTCTTTGAAAAGTGGTAGCTACATTATGATTATCTTAGCTTGACTTTGCGCTTCGCGGCCAACGAGCCCTCTTTCCTACCTTATCCGTTTCCCAGCTGGGATTTAGTTAATAGTTTACACTGTAGTGTTCCCTAGGGATTTAAAGAACAGAGCTTACAAAAGCCGCAAGGCTACATAAGCATAAGCAATTCACTTTCAAGCAGACATGTTTTGATCTGGAGAGAAGGAACTTGCTTTTCCTTGTTTGTGAAATATCCCATTTCTGTGAGCGCGCTTTAATGGTTTGGAGAGGAATTGGGTAAATGGTCACACCGAGCTGTATATCTTTCTAGGAGGTTCTGTAACCGCTTGAAGCTATGTGGACAAGTTACTGGAACCCCAAGTTAGACTGTTTAGGGGTGCTGTTGGCCCAGGTTTTGCTAATGTATGACAGTGCTTAGCCTCATCGAGCATATTGGGGTGTTAAAATACTTGCAAACAGAAGATATCACTCGAATGGATTGGCCACCGTACTCACCCAACTTAAACGCAGTTGAGCATGTGTGGGATGCCTTAGGGCACTGAATTTCAGCGCACTAAATTCCTTCTTGGAGCCTTCAGGAGCTTAAAAGTGCACTTTTAGAAGAGTGGCTTGTAACTCTACAAGACACTTTGGTAAAGTCTATGAAATCAAGGTGTGTGGTATGCATATCTATCCAAAGTGACCATAATGAAAAAAATTAAAGAAAAAAATTCCCCCCACACGCTTAATTTTTCATAATTTTGTAGTTTCCATAAATTTGGATTTTAATTACAATATTTTATGAATAATCAACTGCCAAACATTGTAATTTATGTTAAATAATGCTTTTGTACAAATTTCTATTATAATTTTATTTAAGTATCAGTTACATTTTATTTCTGTCATTAGCCTTTAACTTTAATGACCAGTGTATATACATACATACATCTTATTTTAAGGTTGGCCTAAGGGCCCAAAATATCTAGCTGTGTCACTGTATTGATGAAAAAAAAATTGTGGTGTATGTTAAAATGCATAATAGTGTAGAAAAGTTAAGTTATCGCAGATTTTTAACTTCTAACTTCATTTATCAGTGCATCTTGTTAATTAAAATCTGGCTGTGTAAATACTGTTGTTTTCTCTGTAAAGAGCATGGTTATTTTATTATATGTATGTATAATATTTGGTTTTATTTTTTCAAGCCACCTTCAGGAATTACAAATTTATGGGAGCTAGTTTCAGTTATAAAAGGTCAAAATATTGATTTTGGAAGCTATAAAACTGGTATAGTGCACAAAAAGCATGTTATGAAGCTGACAAAGGTAAGTTCATGAAACAAATTGAAGAAAAATTTTATTACTGTTTGTTAGTCCATGAAAATGGTATCTCATAACTAATTTTAACAGTCAGAATGTTGATTTGCGAATTTTGTTATAAATTACTATCTTCTTTTATAAAGGTCACAAATGTATGGTAACAATAAAACTTCCATAGTGATCAAAATCATGTTCTCTTCTTTGCCCTAAGGTACTAATTCCAGTGAAAATTAACTTAGTGTTGGCTGGAGAGCTCTAACTTTAATTTTCATTCATTCTCAATGTAGTTTTTACTTTTACGTACATTCTACTATCAGCTTGATAAACTCTTTCATTCATACACATTTATTTCCATTTACAAGCATGAAAAATACTTTTGGCATTGTCACAATTCAAAAAAACGTTTACATAAACAATTTTTTTACTTGACTTTCCTGAAAACAATTTCAGATAAAAATCTTTGAATAGTGCCCTCATAAAAACCCTCAAACACATTTTTCCTTTTCTTTCTTTAATTTTCTGTCTTCCCTTCCTCTTTTTTTTTTTTTTTTTAAATAGTGTCAAACGTTTTTAATGTGTAGAGCTTAAATCGTAAAATATGGTTTTGTTTGAAGTTTGCATAGTGTGAAAGAATCTTGCATTTAAATTATGCATTAGCCTTTTGTTTTTGGTAATTAAAAGGGAAAATGCTGGAAATTTTAAGCATTTCATTTTGAGTGGTTATAATCATGTTCCAAAATTGACCAGACACTATAGGGACTGTAAACAAACTCATCTTGAATAAAAACAGTATACAGTCAAATACCGAAAATCTGCTGACCTGAAATCTGCAAAGCCTCTCAGAATATAAACATTCAGTTTATAGGTTCTGGAAACCGCAACATTGAGTACGAAGGAAAAAAATACTTACTGAATAATGATATCATAATTACCAAATAATAATGAGTCAAAACGGAAATACCAAATTATTGATATAAAAAAATATAATAAAATAAGATAAAATAAATAAGATAAGTTTTTTTCCCTCTAATCTGCATCGAGGTAAAAAAGCAGATGATTCACTCAACACTTTGTTCAAGTTAACGATTCATGTTGTTGTGTTTTCTGAGCTTTGTTATTTCATTACATGAGATTGTTAAGTGCTGCCTTTTTTATCCGGATATTTTGTGGATAAATTAAGAATATTTTTAATTTCAGCCCTTTTTAATACAATGACAGATACAAAACGCACTCGTGATTTTACTGCTTATAACATTGCAAAACGTAAACATGTTGCATTGACGGTAACGCAAAAAGTGCAAATTCTGCAAATGTTGGATGCAGGTGCTATGCCTTGATTTATAGCAGAATGGTATTAAATTGCGACAGAAAAATAAAGAAAAGCTGTTGAAATTTTACAGCAACAGTGATTCTAACACCAGAATCCGAAACCGGAAATCTTTGCATGAGGCGAAATTGGCAAACCTCGATGTTGTGTACATATAATGAATAATATAATCAATTTATATATGTAATAATAATTTAATGCATATAATAAATTATTGCAATAATGTATATAATAATTTAATTAAATGTATCTAATACACCTTATTCATTTTGCACTTTTAGTCTGAATATTATGCTTTATCTTTTCTGTCCTGAAATCTGGAAAATCCTAAAATCTGCACAACCTCTGGTCCCAAGCTTTGCGGATTTCTGGAATTATACTGTATATGTTTATCACATTTAATTTTATATCAGTGCAACAGATAATGTCTAAAATATTGTCTGTTAGTTTGTCAATAAAGTTTCATTAGAATTTGGATTTTGTTCTTTTTTATTTATTTCAATTTTATTAGAATTTTTGTGGCTGTTTCTAAAAGCATATGAAATTAGAAATTTAGAAATTAATTCTTTATTTGCTACTAGAAAAAGAATACTCTTCCAGAAAAGTTAAAACGAATGTACTGTTACGAAGTGTACTAGCACGGTGAGATAGCTGAATAGCTTGAATTGGATTTTCTTGAGGCTTTTCACATTCACAAAGATTTAGCAGGTTTAGTTAATGATTTGAAGTCCAATCCAGTCCTTCCTAATGCCTTTAAAATTCTACCATCTTAATTCAGGCATTACCTCCTCGCGTTTGGTACTACCAGAGGGTATAAAAATTCGTTCAGTGGTTGCTTTCCATTATTTGAAGTTCAGATTTTGAGCGTAAGGTGCATTTGCCCCTCCCTCCCTATTTTAACTTCGCTAATTTTTCATGCTCGATCAGATAGCCTGGCTCAGTAAAAGTAGACGGCCAGTGCAACTCTGATTAAAAATCTAGTTATAACTACGTGCAGTGCTGATAAGGACCACGTGTTTCTGTGACTCCTTCTCCTTTATTTTCTTCTTTCTAGGTATTTCTTCCTCCTCATGAGGAGGGACCTTTAGCTGCCCTCGAAATCGATTGAGTGTTTCATTATACCTACGCTAAATACAAGGTTGTTTTTACGATTTTGATTGTCACATTAGCGTGTTTCTCTTCTAGTCTAATACCGACTAATTAGTCAATCGAAATTTTTTCGTTTTCAATAACCTCTGTCACTTTCTTCGAATTATAATGACGAGGCATTTGATTTAAATCATATCAAAGACAGAGTACATCGAAATGAAATACTACATTTAGTAAGCAACTATAAGCCAAATAAAATAAAAACATGTGCCCTGAAGATAAGGATAGTGCTGACAGATCAACTTCCAATTCATTGCCTGCATTAAAGATAAACAAAGTTTAGATAAACAAACATTAAAGTTAAGATAAACAAAGTATATGCCTTTATCCATTTTTTGCAGCAATTCCACTTTTTGTTTAATGGACTCCGAAACATACTGTCGCTTTGTAGATCCATTACATATTAGTAAATATAAATCGGAAATTCTATTTGACATAATCGAAAGGTCAAGCTTACTTTTATAAAATTGCTCTAACAGTCTGCAAAAAATAATAAGCCGGATCCAATTTGAAGATTAAGGAACAACGCAATCTGCAACATTAACTGAAATAGATAATTAGATAATTTTAGCTTAGCTTATACCCTCCGTTATACTTTAAACGCGCATTCGTAAACGTATTTTGCGCACGCGCACACTCAAATTCGCAGCCGTTAAGGTCTTAAGGTTAAGGTCGCAGCCGTTAAGCTACAAACTTTCTGCGCATGCATCAATGCGACGCATGCGCAGAAAGTTTGTAGCTTTGAGGTCCGGATTATGGGTGTCCAAATTAACGACTTTTGACTGTATTTTTACTTTTATGGACTAAAATTATAGCTGGCAAAATATCACTTTTATATCCATGTATATATATTGGTAGCTATTTGTCTCTCTCTCTCCATATATATATATTCAGAGTTTTTTTTTAAACTGACACTACTCAGAATCATCTGTAGCTCGAACTATCAGCTGGAATGCTGCCAAATTTGGTAGGGAGATTAATGACAGACAGCAAGAAAAGAAAAATGTTGCTGATAGGGTTCTCCTTATCAGCAACATTTACAACACTGTTCTACTTTACACAAATGAAAATTCTCATGAAACACAGATAAAATTTGAAAATGAAAATGCCCTGTTATGTAAATGGCAGCAGCATTAGTAATTTAGTCTATGAAGATAAGGGGGGGACATTGAAGGATATTACAAATATTAGCTGGGTTGAATATTCATCATCTCACTTTACCTCAGCATGCGTTACTCATAATGTTGTTTTACTTCATCAATCAAATGCATCCATTACTCTTCCTGAGTTTAAAAGTCACAACAACTTACATAAAGGCCCTCTTGCAATTAATTCATTGAAAGGCATGATTTGGAAATTTGAAGAAACAGGATCCTTAGCAGTTCAGTTTGATAGAGGAGGGAAACCAGTGTCAGAACAGACAGTTACTGATGTCATTGTAATCGATGGCACACATGGAACCATGGCTGGTAGTAGCAATGCAGGGCGAATAGCAGAGCAGTTGGATGTGATCTTTCAATGGGATGGCAAATCTCATGGAAGTTTTTCACTTCTTCTCATACAAGATAAATCGTGTGCAGTTAAAGGGTGGCATTAACTCTCACATTTCTTGCTGACATGGAGGTCAACGGTGGTTGGCCGTGGAGAATTCTGTGGGGAGATGAGGCTCATTTTCACTGAAATGGGGCTGTTAATACTGATAAGTTTCGAATTTAGGCATCCAAACAATCCATACAGTTCAGGAAATTCCATTGCATTCACCAAAATTCAGTTTAGCATGGCTTCACAGCAGATTTCATCAGCAGACCACTTTTTTGAGAACATTACTCTAGCAGGACCACACACTTGTGCCATTACTACATAAACATCTCAAGATATGCTGACTAGTTTTGTCATTCCACGACTTCAGCAAAGTAGTTGCTATATCAAGCAATTTTTATGCGGGATGGAGCACCACCATGCATTGGTTTATCGGTATACTGGCTGTTCTGCCATCACTTTGAAGAAGAAAGGGTTATAAGTAGCTTTCTTCCACTTGCATGGTCGCATCGCTTCCCAGATTGAATCCCATGTGACTTCTTCCTGTGGGATTATGTGAAGTTCAGGATCTATCTTAGAAGGGGTCCTGACCTCGACAACCTTAAATCGTTAAAGAACAACATATCATGAGAGCTGTACTGAGCATTTCTGGTGATTTGTTACATTCGGTCATCGAGAATTTTATGTACAGGATGTAACATGTGGTCCACAAGAAGGTGGTCAGATTGTAAGAGGTCTATTCCCTCACCTAGAAACCACTTTTTCAGAATGAAGTGCTATGGTACACTGAAATATCTTCTCTGTAACACTTTGGGGCAGTCTATTTGCTGCATGAAATTGGTGTTGCTCTGAAACTTCTTAATTATTTATTTGTCTGGTTCTCAGCTGTGTAGACTAGAACAGTGCCACATTTTCTTCTATGGACAACTTTTAGAACTAACGTTAATGTCGTCATTGGGCCTTCTACCAAATTTGGTGACATTCCAGCTGTCAAGCTACAGATGGTACCGTCAGTTTAAAAACAAACTCCTTGTGTTTGAACCTAAAAAATTAAGTAAAAGTAATCTGCTCAAACAAATCATCTTGAACTAATTTCTACCATTCAGTTTCCCAATCATGTGACCACAGCAGAATCTATTCAGGTGTGTTTGTGGAGTAAGTGGTTCATATCATCTTAGATATTAAGCATAAGTTTTGTAGTATGGATATAACAAAGTATAGTGCTGTTGGCTATGGATTGAGGCAAAGAACTGTACTTTCTTCAGGACAGTGTTAAGATTCATCTGGTTTGCATTAGATCCATGCAATATTAATGTAGGCAATTTATAGCTGTATAGTAGTTAATTTTATCGCTTATTTAGGTAGCACACTGGCTCTTATATATTTTTAATACTATCACTGCTTCAGGATATGCAAAGAGGTATCTTAAAGTTATCTTTTTTTGTACATGACAATGTGGTGATCTTCCCTTGCATGTATTAGTTGTGTATGACCCCATTGTCATTGGATATGATCTGCATGTTCTTCATGCCACTGACATATGCACTGTCAAATTGTGCTAATAACATGTTCCATTCCTGTGGCTATACAATATGCCCAAGAAAGTCCTTACTCATCCCTTTATTTTTGCAATCATAGACATATACTTCTAGTTAAAAAAAAATTTAATGATTTAAAATTAATGGTTTGGTATTCTTAAATTTAAAGAAATAAATTTTTAAAAAATGCGAAATCTGAACTTTTTGTGTAGTCCCCCATTCCTTGTACTTTGAAAAATTTTTTACTGCATATAGAGCATAAAACACAAAATGCTTGATGACAAAAATCGACTAAGATATTTAATTTTATAATCTGCGATTTTTGACATAATTTTTAAATTGATATTAAGGGTCAGTTATAAATAAATTAGAATAATTTGAGGTTGATTTTTTATCCCTTAAATGCCAATCAGTAATATTCTTTTCTGATTACATTGTGATGTGTAACATTCTTTTAACTTATAGCTTTTTTTACTCGTGTTGTGCCAAAAAAGTTTTTGCACAAATAATTTATAAGTTTTCAAATGCTGAAATATGGACTTAATATTCTCATGTGGTTTTATTACTTTAGAATCATAAACTAATTATCACAAAAAAGTATTAAAGTAGAAACATTTGTAATTCATGAAAATATGCTACAAGTGACAATACTGAAGCTTGCTATTGATTCCTAGAATACAAATTCTGTAAGATTCTGTGAATAAATTCTCTTTTCTTTTAAAGAAAATTAAGTTCATCAATACTTTTCACGATAATTTGCATAGAAATACCTGCCACTTATTTTATTAACATAAGAAACCTTTTTTTAAACTGATATTTTATTTTTAGTTCTGTGTAGACATTTGCATTTTGCCCTGATTATGATTCATAGTCTTAAAGAAATAAATTTCTTAATTTATAACCAAATAAATTTCCTAAATATATGTATAGAGAACAGAGGAAGGGAAAAATTAATTTAATGATTTTTACTGTATTATTTTTTAAATTTAAAAATGATGGAACACTCACATTTACATCATTTAAAACATTTTTGTAACTAGTAGTATATATCTGCAACCAAAGGTTGTAAAAATAAAAACTGGGTAAGGACTTGTGAGCATGGTTTATAATGATGTGGCTGACTAACCTGAGAAAAGTCATTAATAAACTCTTTTTCATGTGTTGTCAGCTGATGAAATATGCTGTGATGACACTGTTGAGGCATCAAAGTGTTTAAAAATTACACCAGTGTTGGTATCTAGTGATAAGAGTACAAGATACTTCACCAGCTACAACAATTCAAAACAAGTAAGGTCTTCGAGCTTAACCTAAAGGTGATAACATAAATTGCAAAATGTCATTATAAATAAAAAAAATTTTTTTTGAAGTAAATTAGTTGGAGCTTTGACAGCTAAAATTTTAGTCATAGTACTGAATATTTAGCTAAATGAGGTAACACTGTATTTTGTTCCATTTGTTTAACCATCATACAACTCTCTTTTTGTATGCATGTGTTTATATGCATATATAAATAAATATATACATCTATTTAACTTATTGTTTTATTTTCTCAGGCAAAAGCATTGGAAACTGAACTTGCAAATGTGTCATTCTTTGGCTCTGGGGTAAATACATGTGGCAAAAGTGAGAATATCCATAATGCTGCTGATTATCATCTCCTAACTGGGAATTTAAGGAAATATTGTGAACTGAAGATTCTTCTAGGAGAGGTATTGTTTTATTTTAAGAATATCTGCACATGTTTGATCCTTGAAGAATGCAGGTTGCAGTGGGTGTCTTGGGCATTGCAGTGTATGGCTTCGTTTATATGCTGATATTTTATCAACAAATGTTTTGAGAAAGTGTGTTAAGATTTATGGTAATTATAAAAACTGAAAAAACCATGTAGCGTTAGAATGTCAAAAAAGTCAGCATGTCGTAAATAGCTTATTGATGTCAAAGACAGAGCAGTGGACTGCATATTGACTGTCAAGAACCCTGTGGAAATACATCTCAAGTATTTCTTGATTTTAAGGAATGTAGTAAAGTCATGTGGCCTAAATTCTGGACAATGTAGAGAGTAGTACAGCATTTCCCAATCTCATCTTGCAAGCAGGTTGCTGATACCACTACTCACACAGCAACAAGTGTTTTCATAGAGGATAGTGGATGAAGTGGTTAGAAAATGATGCTGGTTTTTTCTTGCTAAATTAACGCAGGTTGCATTGTAAAAAATATTCATATTATGCAGCATTTACATGTTATCCTTTGGGTACTTCTTGAATATAGGATGACAAGTGATAGAAGGATCGCAGCATAACAAATGTACACAACAATAATTGGGACTTAAAAACACGAGTTTCTTGTACTGAAAAAGACTGTAAAGGTCCATTTACCCTAACAAAATCATGAGTCTAAACAAAGCAAAGCCCAACTTCTACAGTGAGTGAATTAACCTGAACCTTTTATTCTAGCAACAAAAGTTACTATCACTAGCTAATTAGATTACCTTCAGTTGTGGATGTATTATGCATTCTGTTTGGCACAATCAAGTTTTAAACAAGTATTTGCTATACATTTATATTTTTTAAAAGGGAAAAAAAGGGCTTACACATTTTGATATAAAATTAAGTATCTTTATCTTTATTCCATAAAATTAATAAAAGTCCTAGGCAATGTCATCCAAACTTTTAAGACTAAAATATTTCCTCAGCACAATGGAACTAATTTCATTAAAAATACAAATATTACACACAATTTATTTTCATGTATATTATATATATATATGCTATTTAACAAAAAAAGTAATCCATATATCTTATATTCTGTACATTCTTATAATAGAAATTACAAGGGGTATATTTTAAAAAAAGTTAAAAAATGTTAATGTATAAAGTGTAAAACTATTAACCTCGTTTTTTTCTGTTTTGCACCAAGCTACTGTTACTCATGTTCATTCATACTTGTAATGTATGTTAATCAAATAATTTCTACTACTAATTTCACATTTAATTAAAGTAATATATCAGGTTTTAATGAAAGTTTCCTGCCGCTGCAAATATCATCTGCGCAAACACTTTGCATTGGCGTGTTTAATCATATTTTGTAAAATGATTTTTGCCATTTGAAAGGGAGGCTTGCTTTATAACATTGTTGCAAAATATGTAAAAAAGTATCATTATCATTAAGCATAAGGTGTCTGACATGGAACTACCTCGCTACAAGATTAGGACCATCATTTACTTCCAGTTCTGTTGCAAAAGTCAGCTACAGAATGTCACCAAATCATATGTATAGCTTTAGGTACTAATGTTTGTATCATATGACTCTGGGAAGGTTTGGTACCAAAAGTTCAAAAGCAAGGACTATGGCATTTAAGAAGCAGGCTGACCTACTGATGTTGATGAGGCCCACCTGTGAGAACTTGCAGTAGAAGATCAATATGCAATCACTCGTGAGCTTGCTAAGTAGTTAGACGTTAGCGCCATGTCCATTAGTCATGCTATGCATCACGTAACTTGATGTACAAGTTCATTTGCTGGATCCCGCATGACCTGACTCAAGCAGACAAGGGCAGATGTGTTCTGGCCTACACTAATCTACTCAAATATCAATGTAGGGGCAAAATTCTGGACCTAATCATCACTTTTGATGAGAAGTGGATTTACTTCAACAACACAGGCCGAAAGGGGGCTCTGCACCCCGTGAGCCTATTGGTAGTGTTTCAAAGTTCAATTTGACTAACAAAAGGATCATGCTTTGTATCTCCCATGGTATTATCCACCGAGAATAGCTGGGAAAAGGGTACTGTTGACAGCAAGTTGTTAATCCGTGTTGGCCGCTGCTATCAAGGAAAAATGTCAAACTGAGTTCCATCACAAAAGGGTAATGTTTCATCAATGTAATACAAGACCACATGCGTCTGCATTCCCTGGCTGGACTGTGTACCGACTCGAATAGGATCTTTTCCCTCACCCACCATATAGCCCTGACATCGCTTCTTCGGACTTCTACTATTTTCCACACCTGCAGCTACATCTTGCTAGTGTTGTCTTCCATTCTGCACAGGATATATGAAATGAGTAGATCTGATTTTTTACTTGCAACCACCAAGTTTCTGGGCTGATGGCTTTGGAAAACTACCAAAATATTGCTGAAAATCATAGATTTGGGTGGTGATTACTACCCGCACTAAAGATACTGCTTTCATTTTTTCCCCCTAACTTTATTAAGAAAGTTTTTTGGCGGGGAAACATTTGTTACAACCAGATATTTATTTCTTAACATGCAAAAAGTAATGTAGTTATGTAACAACAGAGTTTTAATAGTATGTTTAAAATGTGTGCCAAATCCGGATAATTTGTGAGATTTATGAGCTGAGAACTTATGACTTTTAAGTATATAATATAAATATTTGCCTAAGATGCCAATATATCCATTTTTTTATTTAAGTTTTAATATCAAGCTAAACTTAAATAACCAAACTCTAAACCACATTTATGTTTTTAATTTTATGTATGCTTTGAATATTAGTCTTGCTTTTTTAATTCACAATAGTATTACTTGAATTCGGCATATAAACAAGCTTATCTGCTTTTTATATATATAAATTGTCTATTACTTAAAGTAAACTTAAAAAAAAAAAAAAAAAAATGTTTAATGAAATGCATTTCAAAATTTTAAACATTTTCCATCTGTTTAGTAACAATGCTATGAACTACATGTTCATAGACTACAGTTTAGTATGAGAGCTAATGTTAAACTTTTTAACTAGTAAGTTTTCATTGATTACAAACTGGACATTGATTTCAAAAGTAGACAATTACCTAATGCAAATTAATTTCTTCTGTAAACTTTTGAAAAGCATATATCATATAATCTTTTTATATTCTTCATAATACAAAGCATTTAATATCTGAACAAATTTTAATTATTGGATAAAATTGCGTGTTTATAGGTTAATAGATAAATTAATGCACAGATCTACCATATAACTTTCATGTTTTAAAATCTGTTATCTCACCTATCATGTCAGAGACTTGTTACTTAAAATTAGGCAATTTGTACTTGCTTTTGAACCTTACCACCTGAGTGGTAAGGTCACTGAACACTGGTAGTTTGGTCTAGGGTTTGAAACCTGACAAACAAGCTGGCTGCATGGGCATTTTTCCCCATGTGTAATGTGTATGCAAACCTGTTTCTCTTAGAACGTCCTCCATGAAGGCAACCTTCCCCTTAGGCAGATAGCCTTCGAGTGCTTTACCATAATCACATAAACTAACCCCATATGTGACATGAATACAAACCAGTTTCCCTCGAAATGTCCTCCATAAAAGTAATCTTCTTCTGTGCAAATAGCCCTCATGGCTTTGCCGTATTCAAATAACCTGACCTAACATAGCAGCTATGTAAATAATAGAAGCATAAAACTCTGATAACCAAGCAATTTAATAATTTATTTTGAAATTTGGAAACCTAATACAGTGTAAAACAGAATTGTTGCATGCGTACAGGTTCCCAATGGATTGAATGCACACAGACCCAATGATAACTTAATAAAATTTATTTGTCAAAAAGAAACACTTAACAGTTCTGGAACTTTCCACAAAAGTACTTCTACAGCTCTTCTCAGTGTCACAAAGCCTAATCAATAGTTAACACTTCTAACTTCTGAGAACATTAAACACAATGCAGTGAAAAGCACATCTAAAGAGTGAAGCACGTGCAGAGATCTCTCAATAATCCGAATTCAGCTTTGAAGTAGAAACTGAGAACTGATGCTCTCTCCAATCCTTATATAGTTTTCAACTGGCTGCCAAAATATTTCCAGTATCTTCAATTTCTCAAAATTGCTGGAAGGCATATACAGTTACATATATGGTGGATACAGTTACATATAGGGATTAGACCAGTTACAGAGACCAAAATGTCACCAAAAATTTCGCGATAAGAATTCCTCAGAAAGCCATTGGGAGCTTGGTGCCATCTTGCCTTTGGCACAGTAGTCATTTACCTCAATGTTAACTAGACTTGCCTCTCTAAACTTTTTTTTTTCCCCAGCGAAGCTTCATTCTCTTGAGGCCTTTCTTGTTACATTATACAAGAGGTACTACAATTTTACATATATAATTTCACTAAAATTATTTACATATCTACAAAATTCATAACAATATAATGCCTCAGTTTTCTGGAGCAACAAGAAACATAACATCATCTTCGTAAATCTAAATTTCTCATATTTTTTTAATACTGCTCTTAACTTAAAAACATGTATTGCTAAATCTTTAGAATTTGTAATTCACTTGTTTATTAGTAATGCAATGATATGTTCTTTTTTTACCATTCATTTAATATTTAAATTGATATGAAGACATGCATTAAAATCAAGGAATCATGCAGATTGGAACATAGTTTTGAAACCTGAAGTCGTTAGCTATTACGTAGGTAAGTTGAAAAATAAGTTTCCCCTGTCGACTGCGGTCAGAGTTATGTATGAAAGTCAAAAATAGAATGGACCATTACAGATCACTTCCTTTATTTTGCCAATAGGTACCAAGTACAGTGAACATTTGTCTATCGCTTGAAGCCAAAGCCCTCCAGGAAAAATCAGGGCTTTTGCATAGGAAGCTTTGAACGGCTTTTCACTTCGTATTGCTTCCAAAGCGCCTTACCCCGATTTTCTTCAACCGAAACATTGAAGTCGCTGGTTGAGAGGACTGTATGCGATGTG